TGCACCACCGTTTTTTTTCTTTTTTTTTTTAAATTTTTTTTTTTTCTTAATTTATTTATTTATTTATTTATTTTTTTTTTTTGCAAGCATTTTTAGTATTTTGTTACGTAAGTTTTATTGAGATTCAAAATGGCAAATTAAAAGTCGAGTACAGAATTTTCTTTACATTTTATATTCAAATGTATAAATACTTAAAATAGGGACATTAAAATCAGGCTGCAAATCAGTTTTACTACGTTTAGGTAAAAAGAGCATTTATCGTATGAAGTGGTCTCTGTTTTAGAATATCCAACGTTTTACCCAGGCATTTTCTCATATAACCTTTTCCTCTAATTACAAGCCAGAGATGAAAAAAACGTTAAATTTAAAACTATAGGAACTATGTAAGATATAGCAGGAAATATAATTTGGCTTCAAAATATGTATTTTCTTTTTTTCCGTGAGTCCTGAGAAAGATATAGGATTCACTAAAAAATATTAAAAATTTGAACAAGAAAACAAGAAAAAAATTTTAAATTATAAATTGGTGTATAAAATATTTATAAATTATAAGTGTTTAATTTACTCATAATTGAAATTTCAAACTTGATAAAACAATTTCGTCCCATTATTAATATACTTGATTCTATAGAATGTAAATTAACAATTATTTAAAAGATATCTTTGAATATAATTAGGGGATTTCATAGCAGAAAATGAACAACTTACTTTAATGATTCAAAAGTTTTTAAGACTGGGATTAAATTTTGATTAGGTGAAACAAAATCAAATAATCTCATAACAAAGGTATAACGAAAAAATATATAAATAGCTTAAAATTCATCGAATAAAACCTTAACTCAAAATGTGATAAAGAATTGATTTAAATCTTAAAGTTTTTTTTTCGTTATTATTAAAACTGATTTTCTTTCTTAACATATTCTTGTAAAATTTACAATTGATTAGCTTGAATCTTACAACTTATTCATTTAAATGTTGAAACAGATTCATGTAAAACTTGCAGTAAAGTCCTTTAAATCTTACTGACTCCTTTAAATCGTACTAATTTCCTTAAATCTTATAGTGCTCTTAAAACTTTATTGACCTTTCAAAACTTATTAAGCCCTTTAATTTTTGCTGATTTCTTGAAGCCTAAGTGATTCCTTTAAATTTTGATATGATGTTACTAATTCATTTTCAACTTAATTTGAGTTCAACTGATTCCCTTAAATCTTGCTACAATCTTAGAAATAAAAACTCTATTTTTTGAGGATTCAGAAATCCTTGAGCAGAATTTCGTTAATTTTTAGAATCATTACGTCACGAAATCTGATTTCTAACGAAGGGAATTCGAAAATATATGAGGAAAATACTTCCTCAACTCAAAACCTTATTGTAGTGCATTGTGGAAGACAGTTAACTGAAATGACGACTGTAGAATAAAGACTAGAAAATCAGAGATAAAGTGACGAATTTTATTGATGGACCTTTATGGTGGTCAAGGAGTTGGCCTCGTACCAGAAAGATACGAGGTTCAAATCTTGCTTCGGGCATAAGTGAAATTTACACCGAAGAACCATTGCATTATGACCACCCTGATAATAACATGTAGGACCACCTTTAGCCCTCAAAACTGCTAGCACTCGCAATGGCATTGATTCCACAAGGTGCTGATAGGTAGTCTGAGGTATCTGGTACCAAGCGCTCACCAACTGGTCCTGCAATTCCCTCACATTGCGAGGGGGTAGCGTGGCAGCACGAATTTGGTTTTCCAAGTAGGACCACAAATGCTCTATTGGATTAAGGTCAGGTGAATTTGGGGGCCAAGACATGACTTGAAAGTCACTGGAATGTTCCTCGAACCAATCCATGACGATTCGACCCTTATGACATGGTGCATTATCCTGTTGGTAAACACCATCCCCCGCAGGAAAAACTGTTGCCATGAATGGGTGAACCTGGTCTGCAACTATGTTCAAGTAGCTTACAGACGTCAGGGATTGTTCTATGAGGATTATGGGTCCTAATGTGCCCCATGAAAACATTGTTCCTGGGCGAGAAGCCATGAAAACCTGGGAGAGCCCATTGTTATAGATGGAGGGCGGTCATAATGTAATGGCTCTTCAGTGTATTTCTCTGTTCAATTTGCCCTTGTTGCATTGTGCCACTTATAAGGTGACTACGTGAAAGTGATTATTAGAAAGGTAAGGTACATTCGATACTTCTATAATTTGTCTATTGTTTCTTTTTTGTGGAAAAAATTGGAAAAGTTAAATATTTCTTTAATTTTGACGCAATTCGCTTCCTTGAGGAAGTAATAATAGTTATCTCATTATTAGCGAAAGTTTTGCTCGGAGCATATACCAGAAAACGGCATCGTGAAAAACGAAATAAAGTTCGTGAAATTTTAGTACTATTTTTTTGCAATGTACATTTGAATCTTAATTTAGACTAACTTATGTAGACTATCTACATCAATAAAGATTGTGAAATATGTTTAACTTTCTAGGATTCAGAAGAATTCATAGTGCGAAAAAGACCCACAGTTCTGCTAAACAGATTATTGTACGCTTTGCAGAATGTTATACAGCCAGATGAAGTTGTCACCAAACAACACCAAGAACTGGAAAGAAGGAACTATCCTAAACAGTACTGGAGATGCTATTTTAATGCTGTTAGTTGTTTCAAACGGAAAAGACAGGTATTCATTATTTAGATTATGTTTTACAGAGTTATGGTATCATACACCAGCAAAAGAAAAACACAGTAAGTAATATTTTTAAGAAAATGGTACGAATTTCTCAATAAATGTGTCAATATTCATGGATTGAAGGAAATGTTTTAAATATATTATATAATTAATGAAAGCCTTCGATTCACCCTCACCTTTTAATATAGTGAATGCATATAATTGCGCTTATTTGTTATGAACTGTTCGAAATCACTTGAAAAAATGGTTCATAGTAGGGAAGCGACCATAGAAATTTGTGAGAACATTTTCGAGCATAATTTTCTTTACAACTTTAATCCTGATTATGTGCTCTAACTCTGCTAGAAACTAGTCGCAACATTTACGTTACACCATTCTAATGATAACGTTTTTAAACTTGTACTCTTCGACAAAAAAAGACTTAATATGCCATTAAAAAAATCTGTAGCTTAAGGAGCAAAATAATTTCAGGTGTGTTGTCCCTACATCCAAATTAGGCAAGATTATTTGTATAAAAGTAACAAAAGATTTGTTCCCAGTGATATTAAATTTTTACACTCTTTTCATCGCCGATACGTGTTCCATTATTCTATTATATTATGTTATTTACGGTCTTAAAACGTTATTTTGTTTGAATGTTTACCAGAAGATTAATTAGCTTTCTGTTACTTAACTAATTTTCAAGTGTTATTCAATACCAATTTTTATAATATTGATGTATTCTAATTTACAAACAAAGTTTTCTGGAAAACAGCCCGTTGTTCATCAAAGAATCCCATGGATTAGGAATACCAAATTAAGATTCCACAGTATTGTAACCATCAGCATGATTATGGCAATGTGGTCAGCATTGCTCACAGGCCGCTATTACTACTCAAAAAAGCTGGTACAAATCCATTTGCAGCTCGGTGGTTTTCAAGCCAACCCTGTGAATCGAACAGCAATTCTTCACAATGACATTCAGCATTTTAACCACCGAGTCACTGCACAAATTGACAATTTGTTAAAAATAAGTAATAAGACGTAAATAGTTCGATGTATTGAATATTTCTATTTATATTTCCATATACTTCTTATTTCACTATACAGGGTGTCCCAAAACGACCGCATAAACTCTGCACAGCTAGATTCCTCGTTGGGAGTACATAAAAACTGCCCAAAGAAGCGTTCCTGTACGATCCATAGTCTACGAGAAAAATACGAAAAACAAAGTATGACGTCACTGCCGGTACAAGGAAAAAAAACACGTTATTGGACATATCCACGACGTGCTCAAGCCTGCCTCGACATGCACGGCGGACACTTTGGCCATCTGTTTTAAATTGTGCATAGTATGAAAATATTTACCCCGACCTGCCCCAATTCAGGGCATACGGGTAATATACTGCTGTTGATATATTCAATAAAGTGTTTTTTCTTGCACCGGCAGTGACGTCATACTTTGTATTTTTCTCGTAAACTATGGATCGTACAGGAGCGCTTCTTTGGTCAGTTTTTATGTACTCCCAACGAGGAATCTAGCTGTGCAGAGTTTATGTGGTCGTTTTGGAACACCCTGTATAGCCGACCAGGTGGCCGAGTGGTTAGCGTACCTGACTGCGGAGCAATGGTTGCAGGTTCAAATCCCTATAAACGGGTTTGTAGTTGTGTGACAATGGGCGATGCTGTTCCACCTCCGTAGCTTCGTCACAGGCGCCCTCTGGGTAACGAGAAGAGAGTAGCAGTTCTGGCATTAAGAGGTCAATGGAACAATACATCCCAAGTGCCCGCCATTAAAAAAAAAAATTTTACTATATATTTCATTTTTCTAAGATTCGTAAAAATTAATACTTAGTATAAGATTTTTGAAAGAAAAAGTTAATCTAAAAATATTTTACAATTAAAAAAATTTAAAATTTGTTTTATGGCATAACCTTTTACTTATTATTTTTAGAAAATTAGTCATTAGAGAAAAAGATATTTGTGACTAACGCTCAGCTTTTGCAATGCAGAGAAACAAATAAATGATTGTGACAATGATAATAATAACTTATTATTAAGTTTATTGATTTCTGCTAGTAATCATTGTATCATTTTAATGAAATCTGTGACGTACAACTTTAAAAAAATAGAGTAATATAAAATTTTTAAAATGTCCTATTAAATGGAGAATCAAAACGACTATCTAACAAAAAAGAAAATCTCTATTTACCGCTTATCTCTATTATCACTTAATTAAGCTTAAAAACTTTATTTATTTTCCGTTTGCGCCAAAGAATTTAATTTATTTAAAGTCTTTTATGTTGTTTAACTTTAACATATTTTAAAGTCCAATATTCCTTTCACTATTTTTTGCATTTTACATCACCCGCCACTTATTCTTAACCTGAAGTTTCTTTATATTAGTATAATTAAATATTTCACAACAAATAATTTTAATTAATACTCAGTCTTCCCTGAATAATTCTTTATGAACAAAGAGAGCTCTTAGTTCTGACTAATAATGTTAAGACACAGTTAAGAGGATTAATGTTTCTATTTTTGAATAACTTCGTTTGGTAATCGTATTTATTGAAAAACTGATCCAGATATTAAATACAAAAATCCTATCCAGATTGCGAAACTTTTCAACTGATAAATACTTAAGTAAGTTCGTTTAATGATACAGACTTTAATAATCTCGAAGTCTCTAGAGCACTCTTTCTAAATGGGGGCGATACCGCCCCTGGGAGGAGGTGGGAGTATACTTTGATAAATAAAATTTATCTAAAATTGATATTGAAGAAAAAAATATTAAATTAACGTAATAAATTAAGATTACCCAATTTACCATTTGTACTAGCAATAAAACGAACTTATGCTACCCATATTCTCCAATTCGTACCAGCGCAGCGTATGTGTCAAGTTTTTGCCTCTGACTCATTCACTCCATTTGGTGAAAATTGAAATGCATACGTTTTCAGTATGAATGTTTGATTTGATCCATGTTTCTTATGATGGTTTTCGTGCTTTTCCTTTCAGTTTTCCCCCCTTGTTTCGATTCGATTTCGTTGTTTAGTTGGCCAGGTACGAGAGTGAATTAGTTCTTTATCGTAAATTATTTATTAATTTTGAGATAGAGTTTATTTTCGCCCAACGTTTGTATTTCGCTGTCGCCAAAAATGTTGGTTAGCAAAAATAAGTGTCGTCAATGCAGTGTCTCGTACTTCGGATTTGTTCAATCGCCGTCGGAAGTTCGGATTTGTTCAATCGCTGTCGAATTCTCAACTACGCATGTTTATACTTTGTAACGAAATTTTATCTAATGGGGCAATGAAACCTTCATGTTTGCAGAAACATTTGCAAAAAATTTGCTCTGACAAACAAAATAAATATTTACCATTTTTCGTGAACATAAAGGACAAGTTTCTGAAGGCACCTTCAGGTTCAGGCTTACTAGCAACCTCATCAGAAAAATTTGACGATGATTTGATAGCCTCTTATAATATATCAAAATTAATTGCTAAATCTGGGAATCTTTCATGCCATCGGCAAAGAGTTGATACTGCCGGCTATCAAGGAAGTTTTAGAAACAATTTTACACCATCCAGTCGCATCCAATGCAATAAAAAATATCACATTAAGCATCGATACTGTGCGAAGACGAATTGATGAGGTGGCTGAAGACGTTGGAATTTCCTTATGCAAACGTTTGATGTCCTACGTATTTGCCCTTCCAGTTTATCAGTCAACCTTGCCAAGTAATGAGGCTTTACTATTGGCTCAAGTCCGGTTTGTTAAGGAAGGAAAAATTATTCAAAAGATGCTTTTTGAAAGGAGCTTGATTGTCGATACCAAAATTGAAACTATTTTTAAAACTGTTAAAAATTATTTTTAAAAAAAGAATATTCCGCTCCCTAATATTATATCTGTTGCCACTGATGGAGCTCCTGCAATGGTGAGTCGACATAGTGGGTTCATCGCCGTTTTGTTAATGGTGCTAATTTACAATTTGATCACTACAAAATCAGTTATTTCTGTCTTTTCTAACAAAAAAATTTTGAAGAAGCAGAATTTTGATCGGAATGAATTCAGCTTATTTCCTATCTTATCGGATCTTAAAATGAATGTTATAATTCCCTCTGATGATACACATGAAAATTTTCAACACCTTGAGTCTTAACACAGGGAATTTTCTAACCGTTTTAACGATATTTTGTCCCTGGAAGTACGTCAATATGTTATGAATCCTTTTGTGAATATTAAAACAGCAGAGGTTTAGATTCAGGAGAAAATAGTCAAAATTTCTACCAATGAAAATTTGAAATATTGATCGTCTCACAGAAATTTGGCTTCAAATTGACATTTGTCATCTCTACCCTGGACTTTGGGACTTTTGCCTTCCTTTTCTCCTACTTTGTCGAATAAAAACTCAGTGCTGTGACGAATCTAGTCGCAAGAAAGAGAAAACGCGGGGACTTGCGCCTTTACCTCACTAAAAATATTGAACCGAACGTTAAAAAACATGCTCTGAATCATCAAGTACAATCATTCCTCTGAGATAGTTACTTGATTGTTTCGTTGATACTACTTTTTAGAGACGAAAAAAAAATTTTGAGTGTTTTTTCAATTATCTAATTAAGAATAAGTGACTTATTTTAACCATACCATATTTATTTGAATTACAACAAAAAGACCGCGATTACCTGCTGGTTGAAAAGTATCAAGTTAACTTGCACATAAATTTTTTTTTTAAAAATAAAACAAATTTAATGCTTAAAAAATTGCTTAAAACGTTGAGTCGTATAATTCAACACACCCTCTCTTTCCCCATGCTCTAAATAAATGGATTTTCTCACAGGGGGGCGTTGAATTTTTTTCTTCTCCTTTGGGGGTGGGGGCGGCAACGCTGAAAAAATCGAGAGTCTATGCTCTAAAAAAAACCAAATATTTAGAATTTTATTAGTAAAGAAATATCAGATTGCACTAAATACCATGGAAGCGTTTTATTTTGCAGACCACAGTGTAAAAAA